TGTTACAAAAAGTTTGCTACTCGTCTTGTCATTTTTTTTACATTACATTTAGTAGTTTAAAAAATAAAATGATAAGTACTAATAATCTTATAATACATGAACCCATACATTCCATTTTGTAGAACTACCTCGGAGGTAAACTGCACCATGTCGACATACAACTTATGCAAATTAAAATAAAGTAGTTTTAGTAGTTAGGTTAGTAAAAAATATAAATATTGTGACAATAAATGGATGTCTAAATGCATATCTAGTTGAAATTTAATAATTTAACAACATTCAAACTGCTGTATTAAAAAGTTGACTAGAATGAGGGTACAGTTTACCTTCTAGGCACAGAAATATATTCACATTTTATAAAATTATTTTAAATATCATCTGGCTAAAAAGTGTGACTCAAACATTTAATTCTGACAAATGATGCACCTTCTTGACACTAGTTGATCTGATAAAAATTTGGTTTCTCTTTCTTTTTTTAGAGGAATTTGTTGTTCATGGCAAAGAAGGCAAAGACAACTTGTGTCTACACTCAACTTCAGCAGAAGTAGAATTTATTGAACAAGTGCATAGTCAACCATCTGTTTCTCTACCTTGTGTAACAGCACAAATTCAAACGAGTAATTTGTTATCATCAAACACTCCAAGAAAGCAGACACTGCGACTGAAGATAGCAACGTTAAGAAAACGTTTGTTTGGTGCAAAAAGAAGAAAAATAATTACTCATTATTTAATATTTTTTATAAGTACCGTTTATATAATTATTCTATATTTTTGTTGTACATTAGGATATAGCTATTTTAATAAAGCTACTTATCTATGTATTATAAATTAGGCTTGTTATATAAATCTGTGTGAACAATTTTAATAATTTTAATTTTTAAACAATTCTATTTTAATAAAATACATGCACTAGATTGTAAATTTATCAATTGCATAAATACACGTTTTTTTATTTTTCTCTTTTTTTATTCTTAAAATCCCTAAAATACGCTTTAGCTAATGATACGCTTTAGCTAATGATTTTTTAACAATTATCCCAATTGATTTAAAGTTATGGATCATAAATGACTAGTGAGATTTGTAACACAATATTAATAGTTCATTATTTTTTCATATATGTAATTTATTATTGAATAAAGTTATATTATTATTATTATTATTATTATTATTATTATGACAGGGTAAAATAAACCATTCTTTAAAACTTTATAATTTTTATTTTTTAAACCTCTGTCGGAAGTGCTACAAATCAAAAAATAATTTACTTATATAGAGAATAGTTTCAAATGCATTCATGCAAATTTTCATAAAATAGGACACATAATTATGTAAAAGAGAGATGTAGTTTTCGCAGTGTAGGTTCAGTAAATACCTACGTTCGCGTGTACTGTGAATAATTACGTTTTCTCAGAGTATCTCTGTGGTGGAACTCAAGGTCAAATATTTATATCCCTTCAACTTCAAAGTTCCGACCATTACTTTCTTTTCTGTATTGTTCTTTCTTCCGTGGCTGGATTAAAACACCTTAATTTTAGCATCTCCTATTGGTTGAATGAAGCCTTTCTCAAATTTCTATTTACAGTGGCTCACGATAAGCCGTATAAAAATGCACGTACACATGGACTGGGATATCTGTTGAAGTTAGCAGTCTAATTTTTTAAGTAAAGTTAGCCCTTAGTATACAGGGTGTCTGTAAAAGATCTTTACAAAAACATACCACATATTCCTTAGACCAAAATAAGTCGATTTAAGTAAAATTACCTTAGTTTGGGCTCCAGAGGGCCTTGAAGTTACAATTTTTAAATCGTTTTTCCCATATAAATTTAAAACGGCATAAACGATTTGGCTGAAATTTGGTACATTGGTAGAGTTTTATGTGGCAAAAAATATGGTATTAAAATTTTGCCCGATAATAATATATAGGCGTAGAACTTGAGATTTTAAATAATTGCATTTTTAAAAATTCTACGCCAATGGAAGAAAAGGAGTTTGAGTATGAAATTTAGATTGCGCAACTCATTTACTTTAAAAAAGGTACTCCTGATAAGACTCGAAGTAGTTTTTGTAATACATTCACAGCTTAAAAACGGAAAATTTGTTATTTTGATAGTGGATTTAGATCAAAAATACCCCAAACAAATACACTTTAGTGTGTGTTTTATCCTTGTTATTGCTCGTTTTATTTGAGGACATTGGAATAAATAGAGTACTAAAAGTAATCAAGCTAAAAAGGTGTGTTATAAAAAGAAAATACATTGCCTTCGACTGATTTATGTTTAATATGTTTTCGTGAAGTATTTCCAACATGCTAGTTACTTGAATGGTTGTAAATTGTACGTGTATAAGTGATAAAAACATCTAGTGCTTTGTGCTTCCTTTTTTTTGTTGGTGTCCCAGCCCAGCATTCCTAGCCAGCAGTAGTAGCAAAAACATTAACATTGTCTATATTCAACCCATTTACATGTACATGATTTATCAGCTAAAAGCAGAATACAATATTTCTCTGCAAAATGAAAACAACGCTACAAGGAAAATTGCTCATGTATAAATTCAACAATTAAATCAAAATATATTTTTAAAGGACTTATATCAACTATTATGTTAAATATAAATAATATAAGTATTTGTAACAAAATAATAGTTGTGTATTAATAAACCTGTTGCTACTCCAAAAAATATATTATTTATTGATTAGCAGATATCAAAAATATGTGTACCTATAGAAATTTGTTGAAATGTTCTATTGCTCTTAATCTTTTTAATTCATCTTATTATAGTTGTAAATAAAAATCAACACTTTTTATCCGTCTATTTAACACTTACAAACGTATGCATATTTTAAGTTGTAAGGATCCATAGCCTCTTAATGTTTTACATTAGAAATAAGACCTGTGATGTCACATTAAATCGTGAATATGAGTTGTCTTTCAGTCTAATTTGAAGTTCAATAACCATTTTTTACACATAACCAAAAAAGCAATAAAAGCATTAGGTTTTTAAATCAGAAATACAAAAAAATTAGGATTACCACCAAAATCAGATTATATAATGCCTTAGTAAGACTCCATCTTGAGTATGTTTCACAAATATGGATGCCGTTGGAAGCCACACATATTGATCATATTGAAATAGTACAAAAAATATTTTTACGGTACCTTTATGTCATAAAAAATACTTGTACCCTTATACCTAAGATCTCGTATAAAACTATGCTCAATAGTTTTAAGATTAAATCTCTTTTACAAAGAAGAAAGCAACAGGCTGTGATATATTTTGTACTCTATTTTAAGTACAAAGATTGTGAATTGATTGACTATATAAATGTTAATGCGGCAAAGAATAATCTAAGAAACCCAAGTAACAAAAAATTATTTGATTTAGATCCTTTTAACAAGATGATGGCTGTTACCAATGAATTTCTTAGCGAGATCCAAATAGATATCTTTAATGTCTAAACCTAAGCCTAAGAAAGTTGAGGACTGTACTAAATTAAGTTCACTAGATATAAAGGTTTGTTTTGTTTTTGGTCTTAAATTTCTTGTTACTTAACTCTACATGTAACTACTATTAATTTTTTTATAGTATCCAATAAATAAATTATACCTTATGGCTGCTTTCAAACAATTCTGTGTGTAGTCACTTAGTTTAAAGTCAATTTTAAATTAGTGGTTTTACAAGAATGTCAAATAGTAATATGTATTGTGTCTATGAATTTGCTGTGTGTAGTAAATGGCCAATATACATAACTTTGATATTTTTATCACAAGTGTAAAAACTACGAAAACCACATAAACATAGTTCCCATTTTAAAATAAATTGAAATTAATTCATAATAAAAAATAACGATTTTAGTCTGCCATACTTGAACTAATTCACAAAAACAAGTCACTGAGTATATATTTGTAAAAAAAAACTACACTAAATATGTATCCGTTACAAATTTTTAAATTTAAAACTACATATTTTCCTATAGATTTTGCAGTACCTAAATAACGTATAGAATAAATGTTTACAATATACTAGAAAAGTTTTAGATTAGAGTAATTCGTAAGAGATAAAACAATACCTTTATTTTGTTACTCTAACCTTGTGTGTTATGTATTTCCCTTGACAAACTAACGTTATATTTTGAACTAAAAGTAATTAAACTTTTCACCAAAAAGTAATATTTCACATATATAAAAAAATTAAAAACGGTTCTGTCCTTCTTACATTTGCGAAGGCTGCCCTGATATCTAATCTATTTTCTTCTTCAAAGTAATTGAGTTGTTCAACCGTTGTCTATAAAGGTATCTCACATCTCCCTCATACACACGAATTTGAAAAGCAGCAGAACAAAAATTCAACTAACCAGGTATACCAAGTCCGTGTAAAGAAAACTTTTCATATCCCGAAAACGTCAAGTGTCAACTAAAATTTCTACTTTTAAAGATCAAACGTGCCGCCTCAGAGTGCCAATACTGATTGGTATATATACTGGGATCATATCGTTGACCGTGTGGAATGTTCTTTCTTCACTGCAGCTACCTGCCGACCTTCTCGGAACTTGTTCCAATAGGTAAAGTGGAGCAAATCACTCTAAAACAAACTGGCGCCCGAGTACACCCAGTTTGAAAGCCACAAGTGAGAGTATTTTTAACTAGTTAAGAAAAGCTATTAATTAAAAATAAAAAAAAAAAAATAGAAAATCGGTTCGCAAACAGAAGAGAAAATGGTAAACTATTTTGTCTTTTCTTATTTATATATAGATTCTTCTTCTTTATCAGTTATTAATTGTATTAATATTACTTCCTTTTTTTATTATTATTAATGCAGTAAAATATAAAATCTTTAAAAGATAAATTAATTAATTTTGTTATTAGGTGTTCCCATCTCTGTAACGCTTTGCAAATTATTATCACAATAATTAATTATGTTTAACCTTTTATTATCGCTGATTAAAAAAAAAAAGAAAAATATTATTATAAAAAGTCACTCTTCTTAGGATCAGTGATCACTTCCTTGCACTGAAAGAGTATTTGAATTACATCTGTGTGAGAAAATAAGATAAAGTAGGTAAGTAACATTTTACAGTATTTCAATTTTTTTATAAATTTTAAGAGTTATAATCTACCTCAGACTTCTCAAAGATAGTGTGGAAACAAGTCAATATTTTTAAGTAATAAAAGAGTTTTATCAAATTTGAGTATTTCGTTTTAAAAAACTAAATTTTTTTTTTAAAAACTAGTTTTTTAAATTTTTTGGCTTTAGAATTTATAAAGGTATGTTAAAATACGGAAAATATTGTTTTTTTTACATTATTTTTACACTATTTCAGTAGGGAAGACTGTTGTACCTTGAAACGTTTTTATAACTTTCGATCTGTAGCCGTCATAAAAGTGGTTGTTGTAGGGTAATATTTTGTACATTAACAACTCACGCCATTTTATAACGTTATAGGTGGCTAAATTACAAAACTTTTGTGTCAAATTAATTAATTAATATCGTGAAGTATAATGTTTCATGGTACAAATGGTATTGTATTTCGAAACGCATGGCCTTGTACCTTGAAACACTAAATGACACACTATATATAAGTCATATTACGTAATTATTAACAAAATACATAAACATGTTTCACTTTATGTTATAATCTTTAAAATCAATTTGGAACCACAACAGTCCAGCTATCCTGTCAGAACCTGTCAATGGAGCTGGTTGAGGCCTTGTAAAAAAAAACTAAAAAATTTGCTAATTTTACTATTTTTAAAATGAATACCGTCTTATATGTGTATAATGCAGGAAATGAAACAAAATCACTGTAAAGGTCTAATTTTTTCAATTGAAGAATAAAACATTAAAATCAATTTTATTATAAATAAATACAGGAGCGACTAGTTTCGGCCTTACAGGAACATCTTCAGGCCTGTAATACAATAATCTTTAATTATTATAATAGGTTGGTCACTTACGAATAACATTAAATAGTATAAACCACAAAAATGAATCCATATTGTAGCGTTACAGCATTATAGAATTAAAGCTGTGAAAATAAAAGAGCAGTGCAAACGTAACTAAAAATAAAAAAACTGAGTACGGAATCTACAAGAGAAGAGGTGAGAATGAGCAATTACGAATGCATTTAAATTTCTCGGGATAATAAATAAAGCAGATAATGTAGTGGTATAGTCCCCGTCAAAGGTCTGGATATGTTAAAGAGGACGGCGTTTTCTCTGTAAATCTGAAGGAAAGACGAATCTTGCTGGCTCAGGTGTAGATGGCTAGAAAAAGGAGCGTCAGTGCTCCGCAACCTTTCCTCATCTGAGGCACACCAAACTGCTCCCTAGAATTTCGTGGCACACCAAAATCTAAAATATATTTATAGCAGTGGCGTAGCTAGGTCGGGGGTCAGTTCACTCCATGTATACTAATTATTTATGGATGTCCAAACTACCTTAGTTTTTTTTATTGTTTTAAAATGTGAAGAAGCCCCTTTCAGATTTGGGGCATCAAAATTTTCACTCAGGACATAATACATATTTTTTTTTATTTTTTTTTATTATTCAGATAGAATGAAAAATACAAATAGGTACATACATGAGAACTATACTAAATACTAGGTAGGACAGGTAGGTATACTAAATTTACTTCTGTTGACACGTCAATAGTAATAAATATTTTGACATGATGATGACTGATTAATGTGATACCTGCGCTTGCTTCGTTGAACACAAAAGTTTTATATTCGGCTCAATTTTAGACAGCGCAACTCTCATTTCTTGGTCAAGATCTTTTAAGCATGACCGTTTATCATTTTTAATTAATACAAGCGTTGAAAAACTTTGCTCACATAAATATGTTGTGGAAAACGGAAGTAGTGTGAAGATGGCCTTGTCGGTGATGCGTGGATATTCTGTCTTGATGGAAATCCAGAAAACATCTAACGGAACTTCGTCGAATTTAAGTTTTATGGTTATATCATTACTTAATTATGTGAACTCCTCTCGAGTTTGCAATGGCAGTGCTTCCGTGGAACTTATTGCATTGGTTGCGAAAGGATTTCGAATCCAATTGTATTGTTCCGTGTTGATAGAATGGAAATAGTATTCAAATTTTTGTTGAAGCATACTTAAATGTTGTTGAGCCAAATCCACAATCAACTGCTTGTTTTCGATCGTACTGTGGTTGGTCCTGTGATACATTTCTAGACATCCTTTTTGCAACTGTTCCTGCCAAAGTTCAAGTTTCTTTTTGAACCCTTGTAATTTATCGGAGCACGTCAATATATTTTCATTCCGTCCTTGCATTTTTTTATTAAGTTCATTCAGATGTTCGAATATATCCGCCATGTATGCAAGTTTGGCTATCCAGTATTCATCATGAAGGTGCTGGCATAGATCGTACATATCTTGACTTGAAAGAAACTCACGCACTTCGTAGCGAAGTTCAAACAGTCGAGCTAAAACTTTTCCCCGGGATAACCAACGAACTTCTGTATAAAACAGTAAGGATTCATGTTCGCTTCCCATTTCTTCACAGAGTATTCCAAAGATTCGCGAATTTAAGGCTCTCGATTTAATTATGTTTATGATCTTAATACATTCATTAATTGTGATCGAAAGCTGTTCGGGCAAATTTTTGACCATCAATGCTTCTCGATGTATGCAGCAATGTGTAATTTGTATTGACGGATTTTTTTGTTTTACACAAGATACAAAACCTTTCTTACTGCCCATCATTGCAGCAGCACCATCTGTACAAATAGCAACGCAATTGGTCCACTGAATATTATGTATTTTAAAAAAATTATCAGTTACTTGGAAAATTTGTTCACCGGTAGTTCTCTCTGGAACCTCCTTACAAAATAAATAATGTTCTTTAATAGAGTCCTCGTCAACGAAACGTACAATAGTCATCAGTTGTGCTTTATTTTTAATATCGGTTGATTCGTCGATTTGAAGCGCAAAAATTCCAGCCGAAATGATTTTTTTAATTAGTGTTCCCAAAATATCACTTGACATATCTTGGATACGTCTTTTAACAGTATCGGCCGACAAAGAAACTTTACTCACGTCCTTAACTTCGTTTGGCCCAAGCATAAGTCTAACAATTTCCATGCATGCTGGTTTAATAAGCGTTTCACCGATAGTGTGCGGTTTTTTTTGTTGTGCAATTAATTTTGCAACAAGGTAGCTTGCTTCTAATGCCTTTTCAGAAACCGTAACCGCCGATTTCATAAACTGCTTTTGTTTCTTATTTTGATCCAAGCGCCGTTGGAAAAATTGAATGTCTTTTTTGACGCAACTGGGATGATTTGTGATCAAATGACGGTTTAGTTTGCTGGGTACCATTGCTTCATTTGACAACTGTTCACCGCAAATGACGCATTCAGGCTTTGGAGCCGCTTCGTCGCCACACCAAGTGAAACCATATCGAAGGTAGTCTTGATTGTACTTCCTTTTCAGCACCTTTTTTGCTCTTTTTGCAGCACTTATGCTGGAGCTTGTGCTAGGTTCTTCGTCATCTGCTCGTGATTTCAGCAAAAATTTATCCATATTTGAAGCACTATAGTTATTTATAAAAGTAGATACTGCAACAAAACTTAGTCCAGTTCACTTATTTATAAGGCACAAGAATTTATTTATATAGCAATTCACTATTTATTTCACTCTACGATTTATTTGTTTGCCCGCGTATTTATCTGATTCACTTGACTATTCGACTCTCTCTGAGCGACGACAGGCGCGCTTATATAGGCAGTGGCGATGTTCAGGAAAACATCGAGTCGCGCCTCGAACGGCACGGATCTTTCTAGTTTAGTCGCCTTCGAGAATCAAGCCGCCGCGCCGCGCCGATAGACGGATAGACGTTTACCATCGGCGCTGTTGTCAGATTGCTTTATTTTTCGCGGGTCTCGCTACAATACGAATCTGATTCGTATTGTCTGCAAGAGCGGCACACCTCAAGTCGGCTTACGGCACACCAGTGTGCCGCGGCACACCGGTTGCGGAGCACTACTGTAGATGAAAGCTCCAGTAAATATCGTCACTTTCGTCTAATTTTTTATTCTAACTCACCGTTTCGGCTTTATCTTCGAAATTCATTTTTAAAAGGAAATAAAAGTAATCATTCATGGAAGCATATAATAAAACAACATGAATTCATTATATTTAATAAGAAAATAAACGTTTGTTTCAATGAAAAAAACATATATGTGAATATAAAAAATATATAAATAGATAAGATTAATATCAAAATCAATTTGAAAATACAACAGATAATAAAATGAAATAAATTAATACAAGTACAAATAGAAAGTTAATAACATACCTTCTAAAAGTAACACATTTTAAGTAGATAAATGTTTAAAGAGTTTATTCCTGAACATAACTAATCTAACGTTTTTCCCCTTTTTAATATTATGAGGGTTTTTGTAGTTGAAATGAAAATTATAATTTATTTTCGTCCTAATAAAAATTTAAATAGGTTATCAAAGAGTAAAATACGTAATAGGACTTCATAATCTTAAATCGTTATCAAAAATTATTAATGGTAAAACTTCAAACAATAATTAGATTCTTAAACAAATTTCTAGTTTTTGTTTTGCAAAAGACTTTTTTGCCTTCTTCGGTTGCCTCTGCCACTTTTCTTTTAGTAGTTTCGAGGAGAATTTTCCTATGAAAACCAGTAGAACCATCAATTAGTTGGTAAAATTTTGATATTTTGGGTCTGGTAAGTCTTGTTAAACTTTCTTCTTAGGAAGCTGTAACCTTATGGAGAATAAAAATTTTATGTTAGATCAAAAGCTCTTAATTGAGGAGCAACTATCCAAAATGCATTAAATCCATAATATGTTGTTTTGAGTAAAACTAAAAAAACTAGAGAAATGAGTTAGAAGAGAAACTGCAATTTTTATCTACTGCAGAATGATATAAATAACAGTTTTAAAGAGAAATATTTTCAGGTTTAGTTCAAATTTAAGATTTTCCCAACAATATGTGTAGTTTTTTAATGGATTTACTTCGTTTTGCTTAACTAGAATATGGATATATGCCATTTTGCCTAGTTAGTGTGGA